TTTTTTTTTTTTTTTTTTTTTTTTTTTGTTGCTGCTGCTTTTTCTTCTTTGTTTGTTTGTTTGTTTGTTTCTTTGTTTGTTTGTTGTTGTTCTGTCGGTTGCTGCATCTTCATTGTTTTTCTTTTGCTTTATTTGCTGCTGCTGCTGTTGCTGCTGCTGCTGCTGCTGCTGCGGTTCCTGCTGCTGCTGCTGCTGCTGCTGCTGTTGCTGCTGCTGTTGCTGCAGACGCTGCACAGTTTGCTGCTGCCCCTCGGCGAAGGATCTCCACAATATGAACGAGTCGATGCAGCAGCATGGGCTTATGTTGCTTCGTACGTCTGCTGCTGCTGCTGCTGCTGCTGCTGCTGTTGCTGTTGCTGCTGCTGCTGTTAGTGCTGCTGCTGCTGTTGGTATTTATGCTGCTGTTGCTGTTGCTGCTGTTGTTGTTGCTGTTGTTTGTTGCTGTTGCTGCTGTTGATGATGCAAATGCTGTTGATGATGATGAGGATGTTGTTGCTGCTAGTGCTGCTGCTGCTGCTGCTGCTTTAGTTGCTGCGGTTGCTGCTGCTGTTGCTGCTTCTGATAGCATGAAGCGTATGCTGCTGCTGCTCCTAGTGCTGCTGCTGCTGCTGCTGCTGCTGCTGCTGATGCTGCTGCGCTAGCTGCTGCTTCTGTGCTGCAGCATCGCTGGCATTCCTGCTGAGGAGCTGCAGCAGATGGGGCGCGCTGCACTGCAGCAGCAGCAGCAGCAGCAGCAGCAGCAGCAGCAGCAGCATTGTCTTCAAGGTGTACAGTCAGCAGCAGCGCCGGCGTCTACATCGTCGGCTGCAGTAAATGAAGAATGTTTGCTGCTGCAGCAGCAGCAGCTGCTGCTGCAGCAGCAGATTCAGCAGCATCAACAGCTGCTTGATCAGCAGCAGCTGCTGCATGAGCAGCAGCAGCAGTTGCTGCAGCAGCAGCAGCAGCAGCAGCAGCAAGGCATTAACAACAACGCGCAGCTTTCAGTGGGGCTCAAACACGACGAAGCAGCAGCAGCAGCAGCAGCAGCAACAGCAGCAACAGCAACAGCAGCAACAGCAGCAACGTATGATGCCTCTCACGATGCAGCAGAGCAGCAGAGTGAGTCTGTACCTGATGA